TTTGTCTTCTTTTTGGGCTTCACGGCAACAAAAGGTGAACATTTTGAAAGGGTGTGGTAACTTTCTATATCCACTGTACATCTGGAAACTAGAAAGAGCAGTGTTTCAAACTTTTTGCTAAGAGCTAAAAAAGGAAGAAAAAAAACAACCACATAACTCACACTCTAAAAAAACACTACTCTCCTGTTTTAAATTGCAGTGGTAGCTTTACAGTGGATCATATCTCAGGGTATAGTAACACCAAGGTCTTTCATCAACACAAACTGTGAGGCATCTATGTTTAAAGATTTGAAGAGCTTTAAGCGCAAAAGAAATGCAACTTAATTTAAAGTGGAATGGCTCGACGAAATGGTAGAAACTGCTACTCCGAAAAGTCGTAATTTGATATATGTTCCATTGTGAGAAATATTTGTTTTATTTAAAAAATGACATTTGTATTGTTGTGATGCGAAAGATGCAGGAGAATTTGCTAGTGGAAAGAGGTGGGACGAGGTTTGGAAACTTCAAAGCGTCATCTCACAAACAAATCACATGTTGACGGTGTACAAAAACTCAAGACACCAAAATCCTTCACTACCAGATACAGGGCTGCTACGAATGCTGCGAAAGTCCAGATAGGTCAGGGGTGTCAAACTCATTTTCAAGGGGGGGCCAAACTAAAAACATTTAATCATGTCGTGGGCCACACATGCAGAGATAAATACTGATTAGAGTTTTATTATACATTTTTCCACATATGCAAGTGAATGTAGCCTAAACAAACAAAATATTTATTCAGTATTCCTCTATTTAAGAATATGGTAGAGCATTTCATAAAAGAAAACGTATTCAAGGTAAAAATAAGATCACACATTTATGTAATATTTGGCTCATAGACATTGAAATAAATAAAAACAAACAAACACAAATAAGGATAGGTCCACATCACAAACTGTTAGCCTATTGTTGATTTCATGCTGAAAAGAGAAGAAAGAAAGCACAATGTTTTGGCCGTGGAGCCTTCTTCAGCACCTCACACCTTAAGAAGCCTCCACGTCTGAAATTTTGTGTTTTCTTTCTTCTCTTTTTAGCATGGAATAAACCTTCCAATTGATACCTATTGATACCTATTAATCAATTGTGTATCTTTCAAACTGAGACATAAGACATATGACATGTCAAACTACTGCCAATGTAGCAGTAAAGGGTAAGGGTAGTTTAAACAGAGAGGATGACCGAGAAGATGAGAGACAGCTGTCACCAAAACAAAATAATAAGATGACAATGAAAAGACAGTCCAAGGTGGTCCACTTGATTTACAAAATTGTCTTTCATGGAGTTTGAACAATTTTCAAATGTTTGACACAAGCCTTCCAGCAAGACTGTTAACTCGTAACAAAATGGATAAACACTTTGCATATTTATGTAAAGGGCGGTTGACTTTCTGCTTATCTGTGTAGGTGCTGTATCTTCAACTGAGTCTGAAGTGGTTGAAGAACCATGATTAATCTGCAGGATTTATTACATTTCTTCTTACACATGAAAAAAAGCAATGTGGATGAGAATGCAATAAATTCAGAAGAAATAACCCAAGAGAACCAACAATTTAATAGTGATAAAAACTATAGAAGCTTTTACAGTAAAAGTGAGAATAAATGGGCTATTATAGAGTCCTAGAACATACATAACTATCTGTAAAAAAATCCATCCCTGTTAAAATGCACTCCCTTCAAGCAGCTTAGCTTACATGGGAAGAGTGCCAGATTCCATTTTTTATTGTAATAACTGTGATGTCACTTTTCAGGTGAGTCATCCAGCTAAACACATGTATTGATACTCATTGCTAAGCAACAAGATAAGGAGAAGGCCTGGAGGGCTGAGGGCTATGAATAGTCTCAGTTCCTTGAAAACGTTTGTGTTGATGTTTGGGGGAGTGCCTTTTGTGATAAAACCCAATATTTTCCATCATCATTTTTTTCAGCAATGTTAAAATCATAAAGACATTGTACATAAAAGAGTGTCTTTCCTATAACCATTAAAGCTTGCTAGCATTTACAAGGCACAAAGAGACTGTGAGAGATGCACAAGCTTTCATCTCCCGGTGTAAGATACTGTACCCAGCATTCTGTGCTACCTCTCCCAGATACCCTCAGGCTAACTCAAAGGAAGGATGGTGACACTGGAACGTCTCTTGCATTTTACATCTTCACAGTAGAGTGACTTGAAATTTCAAACTCTAAGGAAACAATTTTATATTATAGAATAATATATGAAATAGAATAAATATTTCCAGATGCTACACTGTTTATCTCAACCTACAAAAGCCACCTGTATAAATCTGGACTCAGACATAGTTGATTGTGACAAGGAGGGATCTATGCACAACTGGCCAGGTGCTGGACTGGTGCTCAGTTCATAACATATCAATGACTTCATTACTTTCCATAATGGAAATATGTGTGCTTCCTCACTTGAAACATTTTGAGTTATAGGATTCCACTCTTCCATCTTTTGTAGTGAAATCCCTAGATTTCATTAAAATTTTGAAATTCATAGCATGAAAGATATACAAGAGGTTTCACATTCACAATGGGTTTAACCTTGACCCTCCTGTATTTTATCGAATGTATCTAAAGAAAGTCTGGTCTCTCCACATAGACCTCAAGATTTGATTTATAGTGTAGTGTGCCCATAATTTCATAATTAATCAAAATGCATTGATGTAGACAAATATACAAAATCAAAGGCATCCAATTCCTCTTATATCCATAATTGTTAATATCTTAGAGGTTTTTTTGTTATAGTGGAGTATAAAGGGA